GTCATCATCAGCATCGTGAGACATGCTGGGGTGGTACAACCTGCCACTTCCCTAATAACGCGAGTCTGGCCTGTCGATGGGGAGGCTGAATCTCAGAGTGTGACGACGCGTTATCCTTAACAGAACAACGACCTCGGCTCCAGCTGCTGCTCCAGTTGCAGGAGTGCTCCTGGCCTTTTGGCATTCACTGTTGACTTGGCAAATGATGTGTGCCTCCCATCATTTTTGGGAAGAAACACCGGAAGCAATTTGCTCAGACTAAGCAGGGCAGAAGTGCACTGTCATAGTCTTGCCTCAGAGCTGCCTCAGCTCTTTTTGACCTTGTACATAAACATGTCGCTATCTTGATGACATTAGAGACTAGTGCTGTGGCACTGTAGGGTATGCTGCTGTCTGTGCCGGCCTGAGCATCACATCTGAGGTCTGGCCTGCCAAGGTGTCTAGGAAAACAACAGGATATCTGTTATTATTAAGATTGGGTCTGGAAAGTCAGAGTGGCAAGAACCTTATTTACACGGCACAGTAAAACACACAAAATAAAGCAAAAAGATCTGGTCTGCTACTACAGAAAACTACCTGTGGGTCCACAACTCCATTTGTTCAGGCTGCAGACGTACTGATACAGAGTCTGTGGCAGATGGAATGTGGGAGGGGTGAGAGTGAATGTCAGCACAGGCCTAGGGGTCGGGGGCAGGGTGGGAGGAAACCCACACTTGTCGCTGCAGATCACTGTTCCTTCACTTGCTTCTGAGACCAACAGCCCATCCACAGTACCCGAAGTGACTGCATGACCTGAGTGCGCATCCTGGTTAGGTGGTCTCCTGCCAGCCCAGCCCTGAGGTCAGGCACGCACAGCATCCATTCAGCACACGCAGGTTGACTGAGCGAGTGATTTTCCTCTAACCCCAGCCCCTGCTCCTCATGGACATCTCCTCGTGACTGCGTGGGGGAACAGATGGCCTTAGACCATATGCTGGCACTGCAGGAAGCAGAAGGGCTGAGGCATCACAGCACCACTTAGGGCTGGCCCTGAAGGACAGTAGTGTACCCCCACTGACAATCCAACTCCTTGACAAAGGAAGGTTTGGGGAGCCCTTCCAAGTGAACAGCTCTCAACAGAAGAGGGCCTGGTGAAGAGCAGAGGGACTGTGGAATGCAGAGTCAAAAAACCTAAGTGGCAACTATCGACTGTGACCTCATCTTACAGAAATGAAAACTGTTGACACAACGCGCGTTTGGTGCTGGTTCGTGTCCCAGCAGTCCTGCTTCCCATCCAGATCCCTGCTTGTGGCCTGGGAAAGCAGTCGAGGGCGGCCCAAAGCCTTGGGACCCTGCACCCGTGTGGGAGACCCGGAAGAAGTTCCTGGATCCTGGCTTCGGATCAGCATAGCATCGGGCGTTGCACTCACTTGGGGAGTGAATCATCGGATGGAAGATCTTCCTCTCTGTTTCTCCTCCTCTGTGTATATCTGACTTTCCAATAAATAAATAAATAAATAAATCTTTTTAAAAAAATCTAAAACTCGAAGGCCTATGCAACAAAACTTTGTTTCTGGCATCAGAGTTCAGTATAAGTTTAATATAGCACAGAGGAGCTTGGCTCTGCACAACCATTCCAGAATCCAGATTCATTTAGCATCTCCTGCCCCTGCAGGTTCTCAGACCATCCCTGCTAGCAGAGCAGAGAGAGAACCAGGATCAGTACTCAGGTGGAACAGCTGTCATTTTCATTGGCCAAAATTTAGTCATGTGGCCATACTTATATAAGAGTGGGTCAAGAATTAGTGAAAGCAACTAGCTGTGCTATTTTTGGTCACTGGTAACTTTTTTTTTCAGATTTATTTATTTATTTGAAAGCCAAATTTACACAGGTGAGAGACAGAGATCTTCTGTTTGCTGGCCCACTCTCCAACTGGCTGCAATGGCTGGAGCTGAGCCCATCCAAAGCCAGGAGCCAGGAGCCTTTTCCAAGTCTCCCACGTGGGTACAGGGTCCCAAGGCTTTGGGCCATCCTCTATTGCTTTCCCAGGCCACAAGCAGGGAGCCAGAAAAGAAGTGGAGCGTTCGGGACGTCCATATGGGATCCCAGCGCCTTGAAGTGAGGATTTAGCTATGGAGCCATCGTGCCGGGCCTGTTGCCGATGTGTTAGGCATCACCGACAGAGAATGAGCCTGTGTTGACAGACTCAGTGCTCTCTCTCTCCGAGAGAAGATGGGAGTGGAAGACTAGCCATGGCAGAAGGAAGCCCCATCTGTCAGAGTGAGAGGAAAGGACAGATGCTAACAGAGTGACGAGAAGGCACAGGAGGAGAGAAGCGCAATCAGGCAGGACCATTTTGGTTTCCGTAAAGTGCTGAGAGTAAGAAAAGGGGGCCCGGCATGCTGACTCAGGGGCTAAATCCTCATCTTCCAAGTGCCAGGATCTCACAGGAGGGCTGGTTCATGTCCCAGTTGCCCTACTTCCCTTCCAGCTCCTTGTTTGTGGCCTGGGAAAGCAGTAGACGATGGCCCAAGGCTTTGGGACCCTGCACCCACATGGGAGACCCGGAAGAAGCTCCTGGCTCTTAGCTTCAGATCAGCTGAGCTCCGGCCATTGCGGCTGCTTTGGAGAGTGAACTAGCAGATCGGAGATCTTTCTCTATGCTTTTCTCTGTAAATCTGCCTTTCCAATAAAAATAAATCTTCGAAAAAAAAGAATAAGAAAAGGTATGAGGTTGCAAAAGGACCCAGTGCAATGTGGCCATAAGAACCTGTGCTGGAACCAGTACGTCTAGTTTTGTGACTTTGTTCCACTGCCAAGAATTACCAGGGGAGGAAGCTCCCCGTGTAATTCATTCCAAGGTGAGATGCATGAAATCCAGAGCCTTTGGCACCAAGGTGTGGTGGAGCAGCCTTTGCCATAGATAACAGGTAGCTACCCTCATGTCACTACTGTGGGTTTCCTAACCCTTCCCTTTGTATGTTTTCCAAATTTTATTTTTTATTTTTATAAGATTTATTTTTTAAAGAGTTATTTTTTTTTTTTATTGCAAAGTCATATATAGAGAGAAAGGAGGAGAGTCAGAGAGGAAGATCTTTCGTCCAATGATTTACTCCCCAAGCGGCCTCAAGGGCTGGAGCTGAGCTGACCCGAAGCCAAGAACCTGAAGCCTCTTCCGGGTCTCCCACATGGGTGCAGGGTTCCAAAGCTTTGGTCCGTCCTCCTCTGCTTTCCCAGGCCACAAGCAGGGAGCTGGATGGGAAGCTGGGCTGCAGGGATTAGAACCCGGCGTCCATAAGGGATCCAGGGGTGTTCAAGGTGAGGACTTTTAACCGATAGGCCATCCGGCCGGGCCCTATTTTTAATTTTTTTTTTAAAGATTTATTATTATTTTTTATTGGAAAGGCAGATATAGAGAGGAGGAGACAGAGAGGCAGATATTCCATCTACTGATTCACTCCCCAAGTGGCCACTACAGCCAGAACTGAGCTGATATGAAGCCAGAAGCCAGGAACTTCTTGCAGCCTCCCATGTGGGTGCAGGATCCCAAGGCCTTGGGCCGTCCTTGACTACTTTCCCAGGTCACAGGTGGGGAGCTGGATGGGAAGTGGGGCCTAGAATTGGGATTAGAACCAGCACTCATATGGGATCTTGGCATGTATAAGGCAAGTACTTTTGCCACTAAATTACTGCGCCGGGCCCTATTTTATTTATTTAAGGAGAGAAAGAGATTCTAATCTGCCATTTTGTTCCCCCAAATGACTGTAATGGTTAAGACTGAGTGTGGGCTGAAGCCAGGAGCTGGGAACCCAGTCCAGGTCTCCCTCCAGCCATCACTGCTACCTCCCTGGAAGGACACCAAACAAGGAGGGGCCGGGTGGTAGTGCCGGGAGCTAAATGCAGGTGTTCACGAACGGGATGTGGCCGTCTCACCCACTGCTTGGCTGACCACCTGCCACTCTACATCTCTGTGTACTTTTTCTTTCTTATTTTCTCCCAATCCCCAGTGCTGCCTTTTCCTGCGCAGTTTAGGTTCTGCAAAAACCCCAGCGTGACAGACAGCTCCTCAGCCACCTCCCCTGCTCAGTGACTCCGGCCTCCCGGGGTTTGTGTGATGCCCTCATCTCCAGTGCAAGCGGGATGGTGCCTTGCTTGGAACCACAAACTCGGGCAGAGGTGGTGGCTGTCACTGCTGCAACACACGTGTCCATCTCAGCGACTGAAGGCAGGAACTCTCCTTGCCAGCTTTGCGGCGTGAACAGCCCTGCTTCTACGAGGAAGTACTTCTGCTGGCTGTGGGAATGGGTTTGCAGGCAGCTCCCACCCCAGTCGAGCCTCCAGACCGGCTGACACTTCCTGAAGTCTTGTGAAACCCTAAGCATGGGACCCGACCGGGTCAGGGAACTCAGGAGGTAGTGACGGGCTGTTTATGCCTTGAGTTTGTGGTTGTTTGTGGTCAACTAGAATTCTTACCCTCAGCAGGACCCATAGTGGGGTGAGGGAGGGTGTGGGCGCAGGACACGGGGGGGGGGGTGGTGAAGGAGGAGAGGGTGTGTTACCCAGTGGGCACTTCCACCTTTGAGGCAGAAACAGGGACTCCTGGCACATTGCTCTCCCCACGCCCGAGCCGGCTCGAGCCCTTGCAGTTCTCAGAGACACGACGACGCCTACCCTCTCCAGTCTGCACGGGGTGCTGGCCAGCGGCTCACAAAGCCGTGTCTCGCTTAGGAAAAGTCGAGCCAGAGCTTGAAGCGCTCCTGGGCCGCCCTTCTTTGTGCTGGAGGGAAGCGGGAGGCAGCGGGGCCGGCTGGGACGCGGGGCGGCCGGGCGCCATCCCGGGCCCAGGCGGAGGGGGCGCTGCCGTGGGAGGCCGCGGCGGGCGGCGCGCCGGGGCGGAGCGGCGGAGGGGCCGCCTCCAGCGAGCGAGCGAGCGAGCGCCGCTGCTGCCGCCGCCACCGCCGCTGCTCGGCCCGGTCCCGGAGCGGCCCGGCCGGCCCGCGGGGCGCGGAGCTGAGGCCTCCCCGCGGCCGGCCGCATGAAGGACTGCGAGTACCAGCAGATCAGCCCCGGGGCTGCCCCGCCGCCCGCCTCCCCCGGGGCGCACCGCCCCGGCCCCGCCGCGCCCCCCGTCCCGGGCCCCGGGCCCGCATCCGTCGCCCCCGCAGCACCGCGCTGGAGCGGCAGCGGGAGCCTCGGCCGCCGCCCGCGGCGCAAGTGGGAGGTGTTCCCGGGCCGCAACCGCTTCTATTGCGGCGGCCGCCTCATGCTGGCCGGCCACGGCGGCGTCTTCGCGCTCACGCTGCTGCTCATCCTCACCACCACCATCCTCTTCTTCGTCTTCGAGTGAGTTCGCGCCTCAGGCGCGCGCCCCATCCCCGCGCCCCGCTGCACTCCTGCCCCAGCCCCAGGCTCTGCCCTTCCCTCTCGGAGCGGCATCCGGCCTCTGCCTGCCAGCCCCCCGCGCCTCCCGCAAGCCGCCTAGCCTTCCCGGTGCGCCCGCACAGGTCCGGGCCCTGCCGGAGCTCGGACGCCACCCCGGGAAACCCTCTGCGGCCGCACCCCCTTGGTTTCTTTCAGTAACAGCCTTTCTGCTCCCGGCTCCAGGCCGCGGGTCCCGGGGTGTCTTGCCTTCAGGTCACTTCCACACTCTATTTCGGATCCCTGTGCCTTTAGGCTGGCTGCACCCCACCCTAGCTTTCCTGTCACCTGCTCATCCTAGACCCCCAAGCGCATCTTCCTGAGCCTCTGTGGCCTCCCCTCTGTCCTTGTCCTCATTGCACGGCCTTCTGGTCTGTGGCAGCGGCGGCATCTCCTCGCTGCATCCCCTGTTTGCCGTGTCAGGAAGAGCGTTAGTGCCCCGTTATTTTTGCAGAAAGACCCCGAAGTGCTTTCGGAGGCCTGTTTGCTCCCCAGTTGTTGACCTCTGTGGTCTCCCCAGTGACCTGGATTGGCCCCCTCGTGTCTCCATGTTGTGAGTGGAGGAGGGTTGGCCGTGTGGGGAATTTCCAACCCCACTGATGGTCTCACCTTGAGCCACCTGCTACATACACGCTGCTGTGTGGGTGGCTTCCTAGTGACACTGTGGTGCAGGACCCTGTCTTTAGAACCTACAGACCTAATTCGAATCCCGCCCGCACGGTGTGGCCTCACAGAGCACCTGGAATAGGATCCAACCCAAAGGGTGCTGGTCTACAGGCTCTTTAGTCCAGTCCTAGACCTTTCTGGTCCACAGAATTGCTGCCCAGCAGCATGTGGCCCCCCAGGGGGGCTGCCCCAGAACCCAGCCAGCCAGCCCTGAGGTCCCCGCCTCTGTTGCCTCTGCTTTCCCCTTGAGGCAAGGCAAAGGCCCCCTCATCCTTACCTCATCTCTTTTTCACCTTTCTGCCGCCCTTTCTTTCTGAGTCAGGGTGCGTGGGCTTGGGGGGGTGGTTTCTGAGCAGAAGTGAGGCAGCCGGTGCCCCTCAGCCTGACCCCTCAGCCTGCGGAGTTTCAGATCCACCTCAGTGGCCAGCGTTCAGGCAGGCTGCGGCTGCGGCAGGAGGAAGCAGGGTCAGCTGTGGTCAGTCCTTGCCACCCGCCCTGCCGTGAGCCAGAGGGGCCGTTCCGAAACCGAAGCTTCTCCGTGACCGAGTGAGAGAGGAAGCAAGACTTCTGGGTGGGAGGCGAGCCTGTGGATGGGTTTTGATCTCTGACCATCCTCTCTTGGGGCAGTAGACTTTGGTGGGGAGTTTGGGTTTGGGCTGAGAGCTCACCTGGGTGTGGGCTGGGGTGAGCCCTCCCGTGGGGAGCTGGTGTGCTGAGAGCACTGTTGGAAGGTGGGGAGATCCTGCCCTGTCCTGTTGTTGCCAGGTCTCCCTACAGGTTGCCAGCCAGTGCCCCTGTGGTGCTCCATCAGACCTGAGTCCTCCCTGCCCCTCATAAGCCAGGGCTTCGATAAGCAGCCTCCCCTGCCCCACTGCCCCACTGTGCACATGGTTGCTGACACCGAGGTCCTGGTGCTGGTCCTGGTCCTTAGGGCCAATCTGGGGAGCAAAGCATAGCCCTGTAGGTCTCTGATCTCCAAGGAAACGGGTCCCTCCTGGTGCCATGGTATCCAGTGATGGAGGCAGATGTCCATAGGCTCCTGGAACCCTGGCTTACCTTTGGCTTCTCAGGGGGACACCCCATCAGGTCCGCCCTGGCTGGGGAAGGAATGGCATTGCAGGAGGCTGGTGGTCAGACCTGGCTCAAGCCCTCCTGGTTCCCGGCTCAGGAGCTCCCCTGTGCTGTGTGGCCCTGGAGGATTTTTCGAGTTCTCTGAGCTTTCATTGCCTCGCCTGTCAAGTTGACGGTGTGGCTTTGGAGCGGGAAGAGTTTGCTGAGAAGGTGGATGTGAAGTGCTGAGCAAGGGCCCAGCCCAGCCTAACTATTTGGGCTTCAGATGTTCATAACGGACTCGTGAAGGGCAGGTGTCTGGCACACAGTAAACTTGCCAAAAAGATGGCAGCTGTTTTTCTGTCTGGTACCAAGGGAAAACCTTGCGCTCCGTAATGACTGTGTGTGATGTGCAACAAGAAGGGTGAGCCAGGGAGCACTGTGACCTCTCTCAGGGGAATGTTGGGTTCCAGTAGGGGAGAGGCAGTCCACACAGAGAGGAAATAACAACCACTAAGAGATGCTGTCGGGGGAAATACAGAGTGCTGGGGGGCCTGCTTCACACCAAGGCGTCGAGCAGGTCCATCCGAGGAAAGGACCAGCAGGTGCAAAGGCCTGCGGGAGGAAGGAGCCAGACTCATTCAGAGTGGAGTGTCTTGGGCCATGGAGGGGGCCTAGGGAGAGTATGTGGAGAGAGTTGGGGAGAGGGTGTGAAGAGGAGAATGCCGTAGAACCATCTGGAGAAGCCTTTGGTGGGGTGCAGATCGTGCCTGGCTCAGAAGTCTATGGCTGGCAGTTTGGGTTTTATGCAGCAGAAAACCACTGGGAGTTTTAAGCAGAAAGATGACCCTCTGAAAAGATGGCTGTGGCCTTGGGGTAGACAGCGGAGGGACAGCAGCATGTCCTGCTGGGTCCACCCCGTCCTAGGCTGTGCCTCTACCAGTGTCCAGTGCAGTCTGCAGTAGAGGAAGGGGCTTGGGCAGAGCCCTGGGACTCTGGCAGGCAGCCCACCTGGTGGCAGAGGAGATGTTCTTCCAGCCAGCTGGGGTCAGGGGCCTGACAGCTGCTTTAAAGATGCCATCCCCGGGTGACAGTGGCAGCAGCTCGTCCCTGCTGTCTCCTAACCCTTGCCTTGACCCCTCTTTTGGGCCCTGGCTTAGGTGCCAGCTTCTGCAGACCAACCCCTCCTCCGTGATGGAGCGGGCGGCCAGTCCTGGTCCACATGTCTATCTCATCCAGTAGCTTGCAGATCCATCTAAGTCCCAGCCGTCACTCCTGCTGATTGACGGTGTTGCCTGGCCCAGAGATGACCTCGGGACAGTTTGTGGGGTGTGTGACTGGCCAGCTGAGCCGGGGATGGCTCCTCTGGAGACGGTCACTTGCATCACAGCAGGCATCTAAGGCTCTTGTGTGCAAGGACCGTGAGGCTGCAGCTCAGTGTGGGACCCGAAGGTTACACCTGTCCTGAGCTGGGGAGGGGGACGCAAGGATGATTGGTGACACGAGGAGTGTGGGGCTGCACTCCCCAGGGCTGTGTCTGCCTCAGGGAGATGGACTGTCCAAGAACATTGGACGTCATACCTGCCCTGTGCTCCAGGCAGCCCTTGGGCAAGTTCCTGATGTTTCCCCCTCTGTCTCTCTTACTGCAGCTGTCCCTTCCTGGCCTGCCAGCTGACCCTGGCCATCCCCATCATCGCTGCCATCCTCTTCTTCTTCGTCATGAGCTGCCTGCTGCAGACAAGTTTCACCGACCCTGGCATCCTTCCCCGGGCCACGGTCTGCGAAGCGGCTGCCCTGGAGAAGCAGATCGGTGAGCCCCACACCCAGAGTGTCCTGGCTCAGGAGGAGGCCTGGTTCTCTCTGCTGACCCTTTGTACATATGTGGGTGGGATGCAGGGGATGGTGCAGTGAGCAAGGCTGGTGGGAGCTGCCGCTGGGGAAGGAGGAGTCAGGGGATAAACAAGAGCAAGTGCACGGGCCGAAGTGCTAGCAAGCACAGGCAGCCAGCAGGGGACAAAGGGATGAGGGATGGACTTGGGAGACACAGGTCCTGTTTGTATGCAAGAACATATTTAGTCCACTAAGATTCCTGCAAGGTAAGGTCAGTTGTGATTCTGCTTTTACTGTTTAATTAAATGGAGGCACAGAGAGGTTAAGTGACTGGTACAAGATCACACAGTAAGTGGAAGATTTAGGATGAGAAGTCTACCCTAGGCAGAATGGCCGGTTCCCCTAGTCTTTAACATTCATTCACACTTAATTCATTTATTCATCAAGCACTTACTGAGCCCCTGCTGTATACTGGCCACTTTCTTGGGTTCAGGAGTAAGAACTGAGAGTCATCCCTGCCTGCTGGAGGTGACATCCCCTTGTGGGGAGAAACGGTAAGGCTATCACAGAAGAGGGCTGGGAAGGGTGCTGTGGCTTTAAACAGGTGGGCAGGGAAGGTCTTGTAAAGCAGGGACTTCTGAGCGCAGGCCTGAAGCAGCTGGGAGGGAGGCGGTAGGAGTAGGGCTGCAACCTGGTTCCTGCAAGGTGGCCAGGGAGGTCTCTGGGAAGAGGGGTTTCAGGAGCGAAGGCTGCATGCACCCACAGAACGGGTGTGTTAGGGGATAGCAGGAAGTTCTTGTGTGGGGCTAGGGAGAACCAGGGCTCCAGGCCCCCAGTTAAGCCTGGGTTCCTCCCAGGCAGGTGCCCCGTGGCTTCCCCTGCGAGTGGAACATGTTCACCTTCCCCCCAGCGTGCTGCACCATGGCTCCTTCCTGCTGAGAAGTGACGCAGCTGTTTGCACACCTTGGGGGTTGGGTGCGTGGCTGGCTCCTTCCTCGACTAGCCGTGGCTTTTGCATGCACGGGTTGGGGAGCCCCTAGCTGGTGGCATGTGAACACCAGGGCCATGCCACGTCCATCAGCGGAAAGCCTTCCCCTGGTGCTCAGCCCCACACTTTCTTGAGCTTTGTTCCTTGTCTCCTTCTTCTGGCCAGGCCCAGTCACGCCCATCTTTGTGCCTTCCTTTCCCTTCAACCAGTTTTGTGCCCCCTCCACCTCGGGCCACTGGTCACTCTGCCTTGTGGGCCCATCCCATGCAGTGTCCCTGTCTTAACCCCCACAGGTCAGGGCTAATCGCAAGGCAGGATTATTGTCCTCCTCAGCCTGTAATACCTGCAGCTGTAAGCCCCGTGTCTGGAAAGCAGTCGGCTACGTGCTAAGTGCTGGACATCTGTATGCCACACATCTTCACAGCAGCCTGGTGAAGGTGCCCGACCAGGAGGGAGCGGGCGAGTAACTTACTTCTCCTCCCAGACCCCTAGGCTTTGTCTTGTCTTTTTTATTTTTTAAAATTAATTCATCTTAGTTTTTGAAAGGCATATTTACAGAAAGAGGGGAAGACAGAGTGAAAGATCTACCTGCTGGTTCACTCCCCAGATGGTCACAATAAGAGCTGAGTCAATCCGAAGCCAGGAGCCAGGAGCTTTTACCGGGTCTCCCGCATGGGTACAAGATCCCAAGGACTTGGGCCATGCTTCACTGCCTTCCCAGACTATAAGCAGGGAGCTGGATGGGAAGTGGAGCAGCTAGCACACGAACCTGCACTCATATAGGATGCTGGCACCACCGGGTGGAGGATGAGTCTGTTGAACCATCGCACCAACCCTTCTTCCTTTCTTTTATATATATATTTAAGATTATTTTAAATAGGGATACAGAGAGAGAGAGAGAGATTCTGACATTCTGTTCATTGGTTCATTTTCCAGATGGCTGCAGTGGCCAGGGCTAGGTCATTCTAAAGCCAGGAGCCAAGAGCTCCTAGTAGGTCCCCCATATGGGTGGCAGGTGTCCAAGTGTCTGGGCCACCTTCCCCTGCCTTCCCAGGGAGCTGGATATGAGCAGAGCAGCCAGAACTCAAACCACTGCTCATAGGGTATGCAGCATTGCAGGCTGGGGCTTAGCCTGTTGTGCCACAGTGTCACCTCCAGGCTTGTCTCCTGAGATGGGAGTAGGGTGGCAGAGCTGCAGCCTCCATGATACTCCCTGGTCCCTGTTGTGGAGCTGTCCTTTATGCTGGGCTGTGAGGACATGGACACAAGTGTTTGGCCTTCTGTTGCCCAGTGTGTGGCTCAGTGAACCTGGCCACATGGCTGATGAGTGAAGAACTGCTGAGTCTGGGCCCAGTATAATGGTTCAGTGGCTCTGAATCTTCATCTTGCATACGCCGGGAGCCATATGGGCATCAGGTTCCTGTCCCGGCTGCTCCACTTCCCATCGAGCTCCCTGCTTGTGGCCTGGGAAAGTGATGGAGGACGGCCCAAAGTCTTGGGACCCTGCATTCGCATGGGAGACCCATAAGAAGCTCCTGACTCATGGCTTCAGATCAGCTCAGCTCCAGCTATTGTAGCCACTTGGGGAGTGAACCAGTATATAGATCTTTTTCTCTGTGTCTCTCTCTGCAAATCTGCCTTTCCAATAAAAATGAATCAATCTTAAATAAAAACAAAACACTGAGTCTGCATGAAGACCCTGACAGCTAGGTGCTAGATGCTAAAACCATATGTACTGCCCCCACTCAGGCCTCCTTATGTTGATTCCTGTAACCAAGGGAAAGAGGGAGAGGTAAAGAATGAATCCCAGGGCCTGGCACGATAGCCTAGCAGCTAAAGTCCTCGCCATATGGGCGCGAGTTCTAATCCTGGCAGTCCTGCTTCCCATCCAGCTCCCTGCTTGTGGCCTGGGAAAACAGTCAATGATGGCCCAAAGCCTTGCGACCCTGCACCCCGAGTGGGAGACCTGGAGGAAGTTCCTGGCTCCTGGCTTTGGATCGGCGCAGCATCAGCCGTTGTGGTCACTTGGGGAGTGATCATTGAACGGAAAATCTTGTCTCTCTGTCTCTCCCTTCTCTGTATATCTGCCTTTCTAATACAAATAAATAAATCTAAAAACAGAAAAAAGAAAAAAAAATAAAAGAAAGATCTTTCATCTGCTGGTTGATTTCCCAGATGGCCGCGGCAGCAGGGGTTGGTCAAGTGGAAGTCAGGAGCCTAGACCTCTGTCTGAATCTTCCATGTGTGTGCAGAGGACCAAGCACTTGAACCATCTTCTACAGCTTTCCAAGACACATTAGCGGGAAGCTGGATTGGAAGTGGAAGAGCCAGGACTCAAAGCAGTGCTCATGTAGAATGCCAGCATTGCGGGGCTTAAACAGCCATGCCACCATGCTGGCTGCAGAATTGAAGTCAGAATTCAGGGTGTGGCCTGGAGGCTTCTGAGCAAGGTGGAACATATTTGAACATATTTTCTCAGAAGGGACAAAGATCACTGAGGTTTTAGAAGGGTGGGGCTGACTCTGAGGTGTGTGGTGCTGTGGCCTAGGTTCCTGCCTTGCAACAACAGGCAGCGGTGGGGTAACCGGCTCACCACAGCCTGCACAGGACTGCCCCGCCCTCTCGAGCCGGTGCTGGTGGTCCCCTGCCCTAGGAAACCACTCATTACAGGCACACCTGGGCAGTGGGTCACCATCATCTAAGATCTGGAAAAGAGTTGCAGAACGGGGTGGGAATGTCTGAATCTGCGTGACGGCCAAGTGCTCAGACCCAGCTGGAGCTGGCAGGGGAGGCAAGGACTGCATGCCCGCTGCTGCTCACACAGCTCACACTCCCGCTTAGCTGTCTCCCCGTGTCCTCCCCAAGGCAGATCTCCTGCTTTCCCTGCCTGGGCTGGCTCTGCTTCCCCGGGCCCCACACACCCAGGCTCTCCCTTCATTTGCGTCCCAGGAACCACATTTGTCCCGCCCTGCCGGACTCACAGAATGTGGACAAGACCCAGTTCATTGTGGGTTGAATGACACCCCAGTTCATTGTGGCTTGAATGAGACCCCGGTTCATTGTGGGTTGAATGAGACCCCAGTTCATTGTGGGTCGAATGTCAGTCACTTGAGTTCAGCCTGTGCGATTCTTCCCCTTTCCACGTGCCACCTTGTTTGTACCTTCACCTCTTCAGAATTTTCCTCTGAGTGGCAAAAAATGGTTATGTTCTGCCTCTGGGTGGGTGTAGTAGCTCAATGGATTAAGCCTCTGTTTAATATGCCCACATCTCCTATCAGAGCGCCGGTTTGAGTCCTGGCTGCTTTGCTTACAAGTCGTTGGGCCCCTCCTACCCATGTGAGGGATCCAGATGGAGTTCTGGGCTCCTGACTTCAGCCTGGCCCAGCTCTGGCTGACGGGGACATTTGGGCAGTGAACTAGAGAGGCAAGGTATCTCTCCCCACCCCATCTCTCCCTTCCTCTCCCTGCCTTCCTCTCTTTCTGCTTTCAAGTAGATTAAAATAAGTATTTTAAAAATATGATGTACTGGGATCAGTGCTATGGTGCAGCAAGCTAGTGTCCACTTGTGGCGCCAGCACCTCATATGGGTGTGAATTCATGTCCCAGCTGCTCTACTTCCCTTTCAGCTCCCTGCTTGTGGCCTAGCAAAGCAGCAGAGGATGGCCCAAAGCCTGGGGACCCTGCACCCACATGGGAGACCCAAAAGAAGCTCCTGGCTCTTGGCTTTGGATAGGCTCAGCTCTGGCTATTGCAGCAGATTGAAGATCTTTTTCTGTTTCTCCTTCTCTCTCTGTAATTCTGCCTTTCAATTAAAAATAAAATAAATCTTAAAAAAAAACACGTCATGGCAGGCCAGGGTGTTGGCCCAGCTCTGGCCATTGGGACCATTTGGGAGTGAACCAACAGATGGAAGATCTTTCTCCCTGTCACTGTGCCTTTGAAATAAATAAATTATTAAAAAGGAAAGAAAGTAAAGACTTTCCCCTGGACAG